TCTTAACAAGTGCTAATCTCAGCTGCCGTCGTTGACCGTTTCATGTTTTTCTGTAAAAATGACCTTGTCTGCTAAAAACCATGAAACAGGCTTCGGTGCCAACTCTGCTAACCAGGAATCGTTGTACTTCTTGGTGTTTGTAATATATATATATATATATGTATAATATAAGTGGGTGATGCAGATTCTGACAATAAAAGCTGAGCTCCCCCGTGACCATAGCTTCCACTTTGTAATCCTTTCAGAATAAACTGCGACAGCTGAAACAAATCTTGGAACGTTCACTTCTTTTTTTGTTTTATTCTGAAGGAGGGCAGACGGTAAGAATTGTGCCAAAAAAAGTGCATATATTGGAAATGCACGAGGTGCCAGTTTAGAAAGAACAGCAGCCATGACTGTTCCAATAATGCACATAATTTACCCGTTTCACTAAACTTTAAATATTCAAGAATCACTGCTTATCCCTGAAATATAGCTCTTTGATCAATCTGAGCTGAAAGATGAATTCTGACCGCACAGATGAGCTAACAGCTGGTCTAATCTGGGCAGCTCGCTGCAGAAATTTCATTACAGTTTGTGAGAAAAAGCTCTTTTTAAAAACCTTTCCACCACAGTTAGGTCACATTACTCCGTTTATCCATCAGAAATGTTATATCACTGCAATGCTACAGCTAGCCGCTACTGCTGCCTTTACTTGCACTTGCTAACACCAGAAATCTATTTAAACAGTTCATTAATCAGTCTGGTCAAAATCAGATCGTTTCTCCAAACAGGTTGCTCATAGCATTATCTACAACAGGTAAGATACTAACTGCTTGTAACCTTTACACAGAACACCACTTTTAAAGGTCTGAACTATTCCTTTAAAAAAAAAAATCAAGTTACTGTCCTTTTGGTTTAATCAAAAGTGCAAAAAAATAAAATTATTATGTTCAGTCAAAGACGTGAGGGAGCCGTTCACAAAAACAACGAGCCGATAATTAAAGGATAATTCTTCAGGATCTTCATTTAGGACATATAAATGTAAATCTTATCTATCAAATTATACTTATAGACTCTTTAACTGCTACAGAACAAACGATTCAACGAGTAAACATAAAAAAAATTAAAGTACTTAAATTCTTTCAGCGACAGGTTTTGGCGGTTTGGGTGAAAAAGGGAACGGCGTGTTTTTCGTGGAAGTTGAACGACACAGACACAGAAAACACCACGTTAGGGAATGTGGTCACAGCCGCGGGCAGGTGTCCGAGGCGACGACCTCACAGGGACTCATCTCAGACACCGCTTCACTTCAGCGGCGATCAATAATATTCTGCAGGATCAGAGGACTGACCCCAGATCTGCACCGAACAGCAGGTTAAACGTTCACTTCCTGCGGCGGGTCACTCGGTGCTCTCCTGTCCAAGCTCCACTTCCTCCTCCCCGAGGAGGGCTTCGGGAGCACCTCCCTCTCCTCGGAACAGCTCCTCCATCAGCTGCTGCCCGGCGCTGCCAGCACGTGACGCCCACAGGGCGGCGCCTTCGCGCAGGCCGAGCGAGCGGAGCAGGCGTGCGTAGTCCAGACAGGAAGCCTCGATGAGTTTATGTGCAGACGAGGGTCAAGGAGCCATAAAAACA